GGCAAGACAATAAATGCATCCATTTTAGCTACAATTCACCCCTAAAAAGATTCTACCAACCCCAAATGACTGCCTTATCTGAAGAAAAGTGAAAAATGGAGAGAACATGGCACGACGTACAGACAAACCTGCTTCAGTTTTAGTCAAATGCTCAAATTTGTCACCTTAAAAAATAGCGAGGGAGCTGAATTTGCTTCCCACATTGAAGAAACTAATCTCAATTCCACAAAAGGAATTAAGATGAAGGATGCAAATGTTTTACATAGTCTGCTTAAACAACTCCCACTCCTCTAATGACAGGTGGCACAAAGCTTGCTTTCCTGAGAGTTTTAAAAGCCACTGGCTCCCAGGGAGCGTTAGTAACTAGTGCCCTGACACCGCTCATAGGATCTGGACCATGTCTGGAATGGTGATCCACAACAGCTCTAAAAAATGCTGTTTTGTGGCTTGTCTGACCTTACCTTTGAGATGCTGCAGGAGAAAGGGGGTGTGTGCTAACCCTTTTCCTAACACCCCTTTCTTCAAATATCAACCTGCAATTTTTTTCCTCATCTACATTGCTATGGGCAATTTTGGTCAGAGGAGATACTTGTGGGGCTATTGCTGTGGGATTAAGAAACTATTTTGAGAGCAATGGCAAGTACCAGGAGTCCAGTGGTTTAGGGTCTCCTTGTTAATTTTTAACTGCTTTCTTGGTCATCCTTTTGTAATGTAATCTAATTAATTAAAAATTCTCTGGTCACAAGGCCCACACAACACACTGTGGACATGGAAAGCAAATGATACCCTGATTTAGAGGCTAACTTAGACCTAGAGTCTGATCTATCACAAAGATTAGGATTCAAACTACAAGAGCACAACTGAGATGTAGGTTATTTTGTTTACATTTTTCTTAAAAGCTTTTCATTAACAGGTCTATTTCTGAAAAAATAGAGCTCCTCTCTCAACCCTGACTGTTTAGAAAGAGCTGTCCTTTATCAGAGGTGACACCTCCCACCGCTTGCTTTTCCATTCTTGTCTGACAGGTTCCAATGCTCTAGTATGTGGCAGCAAAGTCCTTTGGGATGCACTGTTCTTACTTCCTTGTGAAACTGGAAGGACATTCATTTGCTTGCTCATAAAAAAAGACCAAGAGGAAATTCATGCTGCCAGGGTGCAGGCCAGCAGTAAAGGGACATAGCTGTGATGAAGCTCATTACATTTCAGGGCATTGCAGTGAAGAGTCCCGCTGTGAAGGTCATATTGTAGCCGTAGCTGCATTCAAGGTGGCGATGGGTGAGGACAGGAAAGCACTGCTCTAATAGCTGCGTTCTCTCTCCCTTGCTTTTCACCTACCAGTGCTTGGCTGTTGGCTGTCGCTATGTGCTGCCGAGTCCTTCTTTGCTTGCCCTTCCTCCTGCAAGTGTAACAGTGGCAACCTGGAAGTGGACTGTAGCGGCTTGGGCCTCTCTTCCATCCCCTCAGACATCCCCACAAACACCAGGACCTTCCTCTTTCTCAACAACAAACTCAGCATCCTGCCAGGAGCAGTGTTTTCCAACCTCTCTGCCCTACAGAGGCTGGATCTATCCAACAACTTCTTGGACCAGCTCCCTCAGAACATCTTCAGCGACCTGGGGAACCTCACAGAGCTTCAGCTGAGGAACAACAGCATCCGGGCCTTGGACAAGGACCTCCTACAACACACGGCCCTGCTGCGCCAGCTGGACCTCTCCATCAACGGCCTGGCCCAGATACCTTCGGGCATCTTTGATGACCTGCCTGCTCTCCGCTCCCTCTCTCTCAGGTCCAATCGCCTGCAGAGCCTGGACAGGGTGACCTTCGAACCACTAACCAGCCTGCAGCAGCTCCAAGTTGGGGATAACCCCTGGGAATGTGACTGCAACCTCCGAGACTTCAAGCACTGGATGGAGTGGTTCTCCTACAGAGGTAGGTGCTCTCGCAGCGGGAGCCAAGCATGGACGTGCTAGTTTTCCATGGAAAAGCAGAGAAAGGCAGGCAGGGAAGAAACATGGGCAGATATATTTGGCAGGTCAGGCTGACCTGATTACCAGATCTTAGCCAAGGAGCATGAGGGCCATGCTACATTAGGGCTATGCTAAAAGACAGTTTAGTGCCACCACACCTTTGTATAGCAACACTGCCAGGCTGAGTTGTCCTCTGCCAGCCCAGATCTCCTATTTCCTTGCTTTGTTTCTAATCTGAAAAATTATTTTTCTTTTTTTCTTAGGGGGGAGGGGGAGAGCGGGAAGAACTTTCCTCAAACATCATCAAAATTTTGGGATTATGAGTTCCCCTCACCCTTTCTGCCTATAAAAATAAATGCTTTTCACACTGGAAAAGAACCGTCCCATTCTCTTACTTAAGCCAGAAGAAGTAAAAGCCAGATTTTGCTGTAAAGCATCAGGTTTGCTTTCAACAAAAGAACCATAGGAAACACCGACACTTAGGAAAATACCGCAATTAATATTGGCAAACCCAAACTAAAGCTCAAATTAACAAACCAGGCCCCAAGTCAGGCTGGCTCCAAAATCGTCATTTCAAACCAGGCAGTTTTGACAAGTTTGTATTTCCAGCTTTTCCTTGAAATATGGAAGGCTGGAAAGCTACGTATCACTTAGCATGAATGCTGATGGGATGACACGCTTTCAGGAGCTGTGACTCAAAGAAAGATGGCACATTTCACCGGAATGACGATTGAAGGCCTAACCTTCTCTCACTGAAGTCATTGAGTAGGAAAGGGTCTCAAATCATGCGGATAGCAACAGTCAGCTGTCACATCCCAGCTGATCCCAGCCATGCTGCAAAGAGATTATCTACGCCTATGGCTACACTGCAGTCTGAAATATGCATTTGTGTGAGCAGAATCAAACAAGCATACAAGTGCCACTTTCCTCTTTTTTTTTTTCTTTTTGTTTGTTTTCTTTCTTGACTCTCATATCACAGAGTCCATGGAAAGCACACAGAGTTAATTTTCCTTTTTTTTTTCCCCTTCCAAAGAAATTGCCCAAATTCACTCAAGCATTTGTTTCAACATCTGTCACTATTTTCACAGAGGGAGGATGGATTAGTTGTTAGAAGATGGGTCTGTGTGTCTGTTGTTATTTTGAGAAGATACAGCCTGGTCCTATCTTTTCGCTTTAATTTCTCCTTTTCTAAAATGGTTCTAGTGACACTTACATAACTCACTAAACAGTATGAGGCTGACTTAATAAACGGTTTCAGAAGGCTTTCATGTCTTGGCCTGAAAGACATCTATGCAGATATGCACAATGAGCTCTAGTGTCAATTCCAACCTAGGCAGAAGCACCCCAGCCAGCTGCCATGGTTGACACTGTTCCAGCTGTGGAGGGTGAAGGCATGCAAAATGTCTCCAAGTTAGGCAAAACAATAGTTTTAAAGGATATTACATGTGCTCCTTCTGGCCAGTGCATGGAGGTGCACTCCCTTCCTCCACCTTTGACATGCACTGTGGATCTCTCAGGACATGGAGGTCTGTAGCACCTCCTGACTTCAGCGTCACCCTTGAACTCTAGAAACATCCTGCACTAGATCATGGCTGCCTTTTGGGGATGGGAGAAGCTCTCTGAATACTCTCTCTACTTAGCAATGAGGGACTACATATTACTACATGCATGAGGGACTGGATTTTATAGCCGCACTACTATGATAAAGCAGTTCCCCACTCGATAACCATAATGCTGCTATGCCTGATTTCTGCAGGGCAAATCCTTGTCAGGTGTGAATGGAGTCATAGGAACTCATCCCACCTGAGGATTTAGCTCTACTGTCATTGTATCAGCATGAAGCTGTGGTTCACTCCTATTATCTCTATTGGGACAGGTGGGAAAATTGACCAGCTGGCATGTACCCTGCCCAAGGAGCTGAAAGGGAAGGATATGCGAATGGTGCCCATGGAGATGTTTAACTACTGCTCCCAGCTGGATGATGAGAACAGCTCTACAGTGCTGGACAATACTGGCCCACCCTGCACTAAAGGAAGCCCAACTCCTTCCAAATCTAAATTGGGCCCAGAAACAGAAGTGGAGCCCAGTGTGGGATGCCCTCAGAAACAGCGATACAGGCCTGTGAGCGTGCGTCGGGCTATTGGCACTGTGATCATCGCAGGGGTGGTTTGCGGCATTGTTTGCATCATGATGGTAGTGGCAGCTGCTTATGGTTGCATCTATGCCTCCCTCATGGCCAAGTACCACCGGGAGCTGAAGAAGAGGCAGCCACTCATGGGTGACACAGAAGGTGAACATGAAGAGCAAAAACAGATCTCTTCTGTGGCATGAAACTCTTCTAGGAAGGAAGGGACAGCAATGAACAAAGGTACCTGAGAGCAGTCAAGCATGGGGTCCTCCCAAAATACATCCTCCCAGACAGACAGACAGACTGTGCTATTGCTCCACTCACCCAAGTAGTGCAACATGCTTTTGGGGGGTCAGGGCACCTGGCTCAACTTCTGTTCCTCTGCACCAGGCCATTCTGTGCCCTTTCACCCTTGGGCCCTCCCAGACAAATAAAGTAGAGTCAGACCTCGAGTGCTTGCTGTGCCTCATGCCCTTGCACAGAGCTTCCTTTGCATGCCTGCTGTGGAGGCAGCTGGCACCTTCTGGGAACCTGTGTCATCCTCTCAGCTTCAGTCCTGAGTCGTCCTGTATCCTGTCAAGAGCTCTCTGCGAACAGAGAGAGCAGCTCTGTGAAAACCTGCGTGAGGAGCAGGACACCAGAAGTGTCCATGCCTCGCTGTTAGGGTCACTGCTGTTGCGTGACAGTAAGTTGCTGACCACCCTACAGGTCAGTGCCGCTGAGAGCACATCAGAAGGGAGGGAAAGTCCCTAGGGGATGACAACAGTTAGAGAAAGATTTCCCTTCTCACTTTTAAAGGTGGAAAGATACCTGTATCACTCTAACACACTGCTAGGGAGCATAGCGTCCCCCTTTTTGCTCCTGGCCAAGTAAAAATCTGTGAGCTGACACACACACGTCATTTGTTATAGGTGTACAGATATAGAGCCGTCCGCCTATACACACACACACTTACTGACTCATTTTGATCCCAACACGCACACGGAGTCAGCCCCAACTCCAGACATCCAGGCACCCCACCTGCGCATGCAGAGCCACATGCGCACATGCTGATCTCCCCTCTGTGTGCAGCCATGAATACATTCAGCCTCATCATAATAGTGCAAAGTACCTTCTGGTTCAGACAAAATACACACACCCTGCCACTGAGGACTTGACAAAAACATCTCAGCCATAGTGCAGAGCCAGTGGAAATGGGCAGAAGAGGATGGAGAGAGGCAAAGTTATAAAGGTTACAGCATGAGTCTGTGGAAATGAATACAGAGCATGAAAAAAATAAGGTGTGTTCTTGTTTTCTATTTTATGTTTCCTATGATAAATGGAGAGCGTGAGGATGTGAAGCCTCCATTTGGAAATCTTTGATTGGCAGAGTAGAAGTGGGTCATCAGGAAAGACTAGAAGAGAAGGTGGTTTACCAGCCTCAGCAGTGTAAGCCACGCTGAGGAGTAGTGTGAGCCTAGGGGAAGGTGGCAGGAGAAGGCAACACACAATCCAAGAGCTGGCGTGGCTGGCAGAGGGACAAGCACAGTGTATGGAGTAGGGTTATGCAGCTGGGCTGACTGAAGAGAGGGGGCACAATTCTGGAAGGTCTTGAGGTGAAGGCTGAAACCTAGACCACAGCATGGCACAGGTGGGAGAGCCCAGGAAGGGTCCAGCGCAGTAGGCAGCACAGCCCACCATACGCTCCCCTCACCATCACTCCTGTATTCACTACCATCCACAGCTGCACATAAGTGTGCCCGCACACACAACCGCGCACACTGCCACTGTCACACAGAGTGACTTCCCCCAACCAGATTTTAAAGCCCTCAGACTGCAGTGCCTCCTATTACTCTTAGCTCTTTCCCACCTGACAGAAGAAAAAAAAAAAAAAAAGTGAGAGGAAAAAAAAAAAGAAAGGAACTCAACATAAGGACTCATTTTGTATCACTGGAAGTGGGATAAAATGCTGTCTCTGGGGAAGAGCGCACATTGCCATGGCAACCTGCTCTAACCCGTCACAGTGGGTATTCCTGGGCGAGGAAGATGACACCGGAGGTCGTGCATCCACAGTGCCTGTGGATGGTGTGATCCCTGCCATCAGGAAACAAGCTGGCAGCCAGCCCAGCTTTGCAGGGTGTTTTGCTAGCAACCTGTGTTCAGAGCCCAGCACGCGCTGCAGGTGGACCCTGCCAGGGCACCTCACCTCTTCCCCCTGCTCCAGCTGGATCCCGATGCCTTCAGACGTCTCACAGCCCTCCTGCTCACTGCTGCTGGATCAGTGAGAGGAAAAAAAAAAAGAAAGGAACTCAACATAAGGACTCATTTTGTATCACTGGAAGTGGGATAAAATGCTGTCTCTGGGGAAGAGCGCACATTGCCATGGCAACCTGCTCTAACCCGTCACAGTGGGTATTCCTGGGCGAGGAAGATGACACCGGAGGTCGTGCATCCACAGTGCCTGTGGATGGTGTGATCCCTGCCATCAGGAAACAAGCTGGCAGCCAGCCCAGCTTTGCAGGGTGTTTTGCTAGCAACCTGTGTTCAGAGCCCAGCACGCGCTGCAGGTGGACCCTGCCAGGGCACCTCACCTCTTCCCCCTGCTCCAGCTGGATCCCGATGCCTTCAGACGTCTCACAGCCCTCCTGCTCACTGCTGCTGGATCCCTGTGGAAATGATGCACGCTGGCTCCTCACCCCCGTCTGGTCCCAGACAGGTGGCTATACTGTCCCATGGGCACCCAATGCCAAGTCTCTAATCAAAAATCCCTCCTGGCCTACCCTGGGCCACCAGAGGCAGACACAGGATGCTCTGCACTGTTCTGGCATGACTTCCCTTTGACACAGGGATGCACGGGACAGAGGAGGATGTTCTTCAGGAAGCAGAAGACCAGGCTGCCCTGGAAGGAGGACTGGGAGAAGCTGTCCACCCACAAGTGTGCACACACATTGTACCCACACTCCCAGGACACTGCTTGTGGGGAAGAGGAGGAGGAAGAGGAGGAGGGGGGTTGGCAAGATGTGAGGAGGAAGGACTCTTCCCCCGTGCACTGTATAGCCACACCAACCATCCCATCTGCTGCAACTGTAGCCCACTCTGAAGGGCAGAACTGGTGCACTGCAGACTCCGTATGCGTGTTACTGCTGCTCCACATTCCCAGCAAGCCAGGACTAGACTCTGCCTGCTGGATCCAAACCTCTCCCCAACCTCCCTCTCAGGGGACCTTGTCTCTTTACCATACCGGACTCCACAGTCATACTTGAAATGGGACTTGAGTCAGAGCGGTATATTTATAGATCTATATTTTACTTGCATCAAATAATGGTGAACATTGCACAAAAAAAATGGGATCTATATATGTGTGTGTGTGTGTATGTATGTGTGTGTGTGTGTGAGTGAGCAAGAGAGTGAGAGAGATTGTTCGTAAGGGGATAGACTAGAGGTAAAATGAATGGGAGGGAGGCAGGGGACAATGCAGGGGTTGGGGGGAGGAATCCTCCTTTCCCTGCAGCTTCCCTGTGACCTCCTCCTGCCCTGACCAATTTTTCTTTGTTGCTAACAAAATTTTCTATATCTTGTGTTGTGGGGCTGATGATGACCTAGCCCATCCTTTCCTTTTTGTTTTCATTTGTAAGGCAGAAAGTCTGGATTCATCTCAACCCTAGACAAGGGACTGCTATGTTTAGAAATGCACCCAAGAAAGGAGAAGACAGGAAAGGGGAGAAAAGAGAGCTGCTGAAAAACATGAAGGCTGGCTGCTATGGGGAGTTGTACTGGAAAGCAAACGCTGTACTTGGAAGGACAAGGACTTGTCTGTCCTCTTTCACGCAGCACAGAGTAACAGGGTTCACTGGGAAATGCCCTCTTTATACCACTGACTGCAAACAGGCTCTTACTCTGTTCCCTAGCTCACCTGGAAAACCAGCTGCCCCAGTGTGACTGAGCTGCTGCACTGTCTGCAGGCACTCTAGGGAACATGGTATCCAGTGTGGTCAGAAGTGAAGCTCTGCTGTGGCGTGATGGATACAGAACGAGACCCAGTGCTCCCGGTGTGCCCAGGCAATGGGCTCCTCTGGTGTGTGGGGACAGGGGCTCCTGTTCTCCCTGCGGGCATGGCTAGGCATGGGGGGAATTCCCCTGAATGCACCCTTTGGTGCAGGCAGGTGTATCAATGCCACATGCAGGTGCCTGCCCTCAGAAAACGGTCTTCTGGGGCAGGCAGGTCTGACGCGTGCCAGGGCGATGGTAGGGGCTGGCAGGGCCACCAGAAACACCTCTTCTGCTCCCCCCGCTCCCCTTCCCCACACACCCACCTGTGGTACAGGCAGGCACATTTCTTGCAGGGAACAGATGGCACTTGTAATTTCTTTTTCTTTTTGTTACTGTTTGAGGGAGAGCAACAAGATTTTCTAAAATGATTGAATGGAGGTTTCTTTGGCATGAGACAGAAAATTTTTAAAGGTATATTATATTTCTGGCTTGTTGTTACAGAAGAATAATAAAGAATGTATTTTCCTATGCTCCTTCTTGTTTAAATGAGATCTCTGATAGTTCCCTTCTCTCCCCTACCCCCTGCAAAAGCAAACACTGTAGGGATACAGCCAGCCAAACAAAAAGGCCCCTGAATTCCCACATAGGTGTATGCTTGTCTGTACATAGTGTTTGAACTTGGGATGAACATAGACATACACACACACATATACACTATATCAGTGTAGGTCCTAGGCGAGCACGTACCGGTAGTCCGGGTGAGGCTGTAGGACTAAATACACAGTCAGTCAAGGTGAGACCCTAGATCTAGAAACACACACACACACAGTGCTCCAGGGACACAGCCAGACAAGGGCGATTGTGTAACAAGGATAAGATACTGTGGCAATCAGCTCATTACATAAAAGTAGAAAGGGCCAAATTAATCCCTAGTGTAAGAACGTAGAAGCCAATGGAGTTATATTCAGGTCAAATTTGATTCCAAAAGCTTTTTTTTTTTTTTTTTTAATTAGAGCATAATGTTCAATAAAACTTACAATAACAAATAGTGAGCTATGGGTTCCTACATCTCCAGATTCCTGGCCCTCCTGAGCAAGGTTACTTTGAAATGAATGGAAATTGCTATCTAATCCTATTGCACCCCCAAGTACACAAGCTGTCACCCCTAGAGCTAAAAGAGTCTCTCCACCAGCTGTTCACTGGCTAGGTCTGTCACACACAGCTAAGAAGTTTATATTCCCCTCTTCTCCACTTCCAATGCTATGCATACACAATTCATCACACACTCTTCCTGTGGCAAACAGTTCATCCCGATGCACCTGGAACCACAAAAGATGTCAAACCCTGCCGCAAGCAAACCCTTGTGCCACCATACTCCCACTGTTATACTCAGCCACGCTGTTATACTCAGTCTGATCTTCAGAGAGAAACTGGGAGCAGAACCCAGATACTCTTAATCCGATAACAGCTGAGGCATCTGCTC